GTTATCTTACTCGTATCTTCTCAAACATTTGTAACGAGGTATTTAGAGCACATTAAAAATTTTCGTAGTTATAAAATTTATTCCGAAGAACGGATAATATCAAAAAATATCTAACATGTAACATTTCTTTTTTTCTTCGATATCATTAGACCATTTGTTGTTTTGTTATTTTTTCCTTCTGCACCATTACAAACAATTTCAAATTTATACAGGGAAACATTTTAATGGAAGATTCTGGGGGCCAAAATAAAACGAAAATCAAGAATACTAATTTGTTGATCGAGACTCATCTCATTCACAAAACTGTAAGACTGTCGATAAGTCAGTAAGTAAAGTTTCTCATGCTGAATGAGAACCACTATCATGCGCACGCAGCTGTTCGAGATCGCCGTTCTACAAGCGGAATTGTAAACGTTAATAACTTTTTAACAAAGCCTCAATCAACAAATTGGTATTCTTGATTTTCGTTTTATTTTGGCCCCAAGAATCCCCCATTAAAATTTTTCCCAGGGGTGGTCAAACACCCTGTATACTTAATTTCTTAATTAAAATCATAATGTTCGTGTAAAATCAATTATTGTGAAACAGTATACATATAAATTAAGAAAAAAATGCAATTCTATAAAACAGTAAAATATATGTCGTGATTGTAATATGCAATTATTTATCGATTGTCAAAGAAAAAAATAAAGAAACTAGAGAACGTTAAAGAAGAATCACACTAACATTCTGAACGCGAGAAATGGTATTGCTTTCTCGTATAATGTTGCAGAATTGAGAATTACCGATGCGAGAAAGTATTCGCATAACTAATATAGCATTGATTGCGTCATTGCGTGTTAGATATTTACATTAAAATAGAAAATAGCACGTGCTACGCGTGTAAAACGTAGTTCAAGTTTTTTTAGTTGTTTTTAAGTCACAATAATTATCATTTCAAGTTACGAATTCTATTTGGTTACTTTATTATCGTTCACCATCATATCGTTTACTCGATCCAACCATCAAACGTTTAAATTATAAATTTAAACGCAACGGGAGAATATACATTTCGTTCTGCCATTTACCAATCTCATTTAGCGTTAATTTCGACTATTAATTACGAAAAGATTACAATTCCTCCAAATTATTTGCCAAGGAAAACAATTTTGCCGATAATTGAAGAACCTCGCGAGAGTAAATGCCAAGAAATTACACCTATGAACTACCCGTAATTAAACGAACATTTTATACATAACTATTAAAGTTGTGAAACGAACGTAAGATTTAATTAAAGAGAAGTTAAGAAAATTTACTTCGATAATTACAGTTACATCAAAGTAGTCTAAAGTCTAAAGCGTATGAAATTTGAGTTTATCGTTTATTTTATGTTACACTATATTTTAATAATATTAAATATATTATACATATACAAGGTGTTCGACCACCCATGGGAAAAATTTTAATAGGAGATCTGGAGGCCAAAATAAGACGAAAATCAAGGATACTAATTTGTTGATTGAGACTTCGTTAAAAAGTTATAGAAACACTTCCGGCCACACGGTATATTTTCGGTAAAGAATTTTTTTCTCGTAAGTACGTAGGATTTCGGGAGTATGTGTATTCATAAAAAATGATTGTAATTGACCCCCGCAACCGAAAATAATTTTTCCAGAACGATTTGAAATTTTTTAATTTTGTCGAAAAATTTGTCCACCTTCCTGAATTTTTGTCTCAAAAGTACGTAGGATTTCGGGAGTATGTGTATTCATAAAAAATGATTGTAATGGACCCCCGCAACCGAAAATAATTTTTCTAAAACGATTTGAAATTTTTTAATTTTGTCGACTTTGTCCACCTTCCTGAATTTTTTTCTCGAAAATGCGTAGGATTTCGGGAGTATATGTATTCACTAAAAATGATTGCAATTGATCCCCGCAACAGAAAATAATTTTTCCAAAACGATTTGAAATTTTTTAATTTTGTCGACTTTGTCCACCTACTCGAATTTTTTTCTCGAAAATGCAAAGGAATTCTGAAATTCGTCTATTCACCAAAAATGACTGTAATTGACCCCCGAAACCGAAAATAATTTTTCCAGAACGATTTGAAACTTTTTAATTTAATTTTTTAATAACTTTTTAACGAAGCTTCAATCAACAAATTGATATTCTTGACTTTCGTCTTATTTTGGCCTCTAGAATCTCCCATTAAAATTTTTCCCAGGGATGGTCGAACACCCCGTATATGATTTAAGTCAGATTAAATTAGATTATTATTTATTTAATATACTTCAAAATAACATAATAATATTGAAAAAATTATAGAAAAACATTAGCTGTTCTAAATTTTCAAATTTCAAAGCGCCAAACTGCCCTTTTACTTCATAAACAATAAATTTCTGTTCACTTTATGTAGGTAATAATATTTCATTGAAAATTTATTAGTCCCCTTAACGGTCGCGAGCACGGTGCAAAATTGAATAACTACGTTACTGTCGACCGGTTAATAGTCGATTAGAACCGATACAAGAAAAATCTAACGCCTACTATTTATGGATACCCGTATACGTATGTACTTAATAACTCGACTTAAATTACGTAGACACTCAAACAAAATATTAGACAACAATTTCGAATAACAAATAAAAGATGATGAGGTTTCATTCCGTTATTTATTCATTAAAAATTACTATCTTGATTATTAGGTGACAGTATATGTATTTCACATGCACTGTATCAGAGCACCACGGTAAGTAGTAATGAAAAAAAATTACAAAAATTAATACTGATAAAACATGTATTATATCTAAATGCAGCTTTCCACACAAACTGATAACACAGAAATTGATAAATTTATTAACGAGTCTTCCTAGTTTAATAATTTACAGACCTGTCCCGTGCTGATGCGTGATTGGAGCGCGTTAGTAGATTGTCGACGAAACCTTTCTAACTTCTAAAATATGATACAAGTCATGAATACGTATCCATAAACAAACTGGTATAACCACATTGCAATCGCAATGTTGCTTAAAGATTAAATTACAAAGGCTTTGCCGACAGCCTATAATAGAAAACAGGAGAATATCCCTGAAAGGAATTTAGATTTAACGAATTTGAGTACTTAGAGGTTAGAATTTTTAAAGGTTATTTCATAAATTTTTTTACTTACTGATTATCACAAAGAACTGAAAATCATAAACAATAAATAAGCAAAATTTAATCTGTAATCACAAACACATATATTGCGAATGCGAATAGGTATTTGCAGTATCTGTATACAGAATTTGATGGCGCTATCTGGTGTCAAGAATGGAAACAGCATGTCTACAAACTTAGACGTTTCGTAGTTTAAAACTTCGACCGTAGGTTTAATTTTATGTTCAAGCGTTGAAAGTAAAGAGTATAAAAACTATTACTTTCCCGATTGTTATTAAATACATACGAGATGCATATTAATTTAAATTTAAGATCTTTTGTTTCATTTATTTTTAATTTACGTAAGTAGAATAAGGCTGATGCCAACCTTGTTAGAAACACAAACAGAAATTCGATTAATAATAACGATCTTCGTGCTGACCCTGCTGCGACCTCTCTCGCGAAACAGATTATTTACGACTTATTACCATAATACGTTACGGCTAATACGAGTATACACTTGTCGAAGTAATATTATAACCGTATATTATTTAATACATTCCCATACATTTTATTTCCTTCCCCTGTTCTTTAACGCGTTATAAACATGATCGATGTATGCACAGCGGATTATATGTACACATTGTGTTGTACGATACATGTAATTATAACACGAGAAGATTTGTACGTCTCGCGTGCTTCGTACGTATCTAGAAACCACCTGTTCGTATAAAGGGATCGTTCACCGCGAAAGGAAAGAAATTCTTCCGATGTTTTTCTTTTATCAAATTAATATTCTTACTCTCGATACTTTGCAAAATGAATTTTCGAATTTTAATTTCACTTACTATAAATTACCGTATCGAGCAGACGTGTGTATATCGAAAAGCAAAAGACTCACCAGAATGTGTCCAATACTCGGTAGAATTCTGACACAAGACCGACCAGTCGTTTTTTAAATCCTTAAAAGACGCCATGTCGATTGACAGGACCCGTTCCTTCGACACCGGTTAATCCGTTGACTCCACAAGGAAGAAATCAAGTTTTCCACCTTGTCACAACAAGGTTGTGTTGTACTTTCTGTGTCACATCCGAAACACAACCACACTTCCCGGTTAACGTTGAACGGAACACACGGTTGACACGAAACTTCACACAACATACGCGAGCAACGTTCCGAGAAGAGATAAGAAATAAAGTCAGAAACACGGACGAACACTCAAAGCAGTCAACGATTACCTTACGACACCCAGTTCTGGTTTGCTGTCCTTTCCATCCTTGTCCTTTCTTTTACCTATACAACAGTATCTCCCGCTCTTTTACGAGTCTGACATATGTACAGCTATCCTTGTTTCTCTACTTTCATTTCCCGCCAATATGTATCACTTTTCATCAGAGGTCGATATCGTCTACACTCATATTAGCTTGTTATGGATCAACGTATCACAACCTAGCTATCATTTAAACCGGCCATTTTGAACTAATTACGTTGTAACAACTGGTTCGAAAGAATTTAAAATATTTGTCAACCGTACATGTTACGACACCACGCATGCTCAACTTTTAATTCTTTTCCAACCAAGTTTCTATTGCAAACGGAAACTCGCAATCGATACTATCGAAATAATCGAACGCAGAAAATAAAAATTTCTCTTTTCTTTGGATTTCAAGTAAGTAAACGACTTTATCATTAGTTGAAAAGTATATTTTTTGGAAGTTTTAATTAGCTGTATACGCTTATATTGACATTATTGTTTTACATTGTTATTAATGATATAACGAATATCGATCTATATAAATAACGTACGTACTTGATGTATATTATAAAATACGTAAAATTAAATTCGTGTAATAATTAATATTCGACAATATGAATTATTTACAGTCTTTTTAAATTTTTTTTACTTTCAAAAAGCCAGCTGTATTTGAAAAATATTTCGCGTTAGCTTCATTTATTTTCTTTTCTGCTGCTTGCGGATTTACAATTTCCAACCCCTATAAATGAATAGACATTTATTTTAATTTCGAAAGTTCTACCTAGGATTTAGGAACTTAATAATAATGATGCTATAGTTGGAATTAAAAACTACTAATAATATTAACAAATATTTCGAAGTATCGATTAAAATCGGCACTCTGTGTATATTATTAATATTACTTTACCTGCAGTGGAGTAAACGCGACACTAGATGCTGTACCAGATACTTGTTTTTTGACTGTCGTACTACCACCCCATTGCTGTTGCTTTTGTAAATTTTTCTGAAGCGTTTTCGATATCCGTACTTTTGTTTTTTCATCGATTTGAGGTAATCTAATACGACCCGTTCCCGCCTTACCAATTGTACCACGCGTATAGCCTAAATCTTCTTGATAGGCATCGTTCTCAATCTAAGTATACAAATGGATAAATAAATAAAATAATAGTATAAATAGTACAAAATACAAACTCGAGAAACTTACATCAGCAAAATTCATTCTGTTCGCGTGTTTTCTGAATTCAGTAATCGCATAACGTTCTTTCATTTTTCTGACACGTTTGCCACCTCGCTTCTTACGACCTGGATCAATAGGTTTTGGTAAAGGTTTCACAAATTTTACAGGCGGCGGTTCTTGTAGCTTATCTAGTTTTTTCTCAATTTCTTCGCGGAGCATTTGACCAATATGACCATCCGTACTTTCGTGACAAGCATCTACCCGGGCAGCTAACATACTTTTCGCCCCTACGAGTCTCGCTGCTTTTCTTCGTAAATCCTAAAGCGACGAATGAGAAACAATAACGAAACGATACTACACTTAAAAGACATTTAAACTATAAACACATGTTATTATAGATCAACTTACAGGCGGAGTATCTTGTACGATATCGGAATAATATATAAAACCAGTATGAGGTAAAGTCGCTACTTGCGAAAATCCGGACAGTGTAGCTTTTTGAGATCCTAAAACTAGAACATTGCAAGCTGGCATTTTCGAAAGTTTTGTCAAACCTCCAGCAACACCTAGAGTACAATGTACAATATATAATAAACTAAGTAACCGAATTTTGAAGTTTTAAAGAAAGTACATGTGAGCAAATACCCATAATTTTGGCTGCTGTGGACGCGCCGACTATTACAGATAGATTTGGAGCAATGAATGCCATTCTACTTTCAACATATTCAAATATTTTCAGTTTACAATTGTTTAATTCTACCGCCATATCACAAGCCTCGCAAATAGCTTCTTTTTCATCTTCCGTTAATAACTGTCTGTAAATAAGGTAATTTTATTTTCAAAAATAATTTAGTTACACATACTCTATAAATTTTTAATTTGTTATAAAATATAATACCCTTGTGTGGTTGATGCGGTAACCGAAACAACCATTATTGTTGCCTGAGTAAGAAACTGTTGTAACGTTTCATTATTCTTTGCTCTGTCTAAGTCATTTCCCAATTCCCTAACAGTCATTACGTATTCTAACGGACCGACAACTAAAGACTCTAATTCTGGGAATCTTTTAGAATATTTATCCCTAGTAAACCGATGTATGGTAGCTGGAAAATATAATGTATGTTATGTATAAATATAAAAACATTGCGCAAATGTTTATATATAACTTTAGTTACATACTTATTTCATCATCGATATCTACGGCCATGTTATTAGCTTCAACGATAAGCTGATATTCTGGATCAGACTCGACAGGTCCAATAATATCTACAGACCTCCTGAGAACTTTACTGTATTTTTCTATCAAACACATTACTCTTTTTAACTGATCGGAATCACGCAGTTTTGCTAATTCTCTTACAGAAGCTACTTTTACTTCTGAAAGTATAATATAATATAATATTATTGCTTTGTTTGTATCTTCTTTGATATAAATTAGACGGAACATAACCTTATTTTACAACAAAAAAAAAAGCAATGAAACATTTTTTTTAAGTAAAACTTGAGTCGAGAATCCACTGAATGTTTGAATCAGGTTACATTATTCTTTAATTTGAACATACATCCTACATGTACATTTAATCCAAGAAAGTAAATAATATAAAAAATAATTAACCTTCTTCGATGTGTTTGGAAACCGAAGCCGGAATAAAATCCGGCTCCGGTTCTTCCATGACATGATCGGAATCATCGTTTTCCTCAAGATCTGCTAAAAGTTCATCCGCTAACGACATGATTTCCTTAGAAAAAAAGAGTTTGTTAAAAGTGCAAATACACTTTTAACCTCTACCGCTTGACAACTTCGACCATCTACGGCAGCGTCATCTATGCGATGCAGCAAGTTCCGAAACTTCTATGGAAAATCTCGCGGCGTTCTCAAAAGCAAATAGTTGGGATTGGCCAGCATCGATATTTGTCGCATTCACCAATCTTCCGCCTCGTTGTCGCTTCTTGGAAGCACAATTGAAAAACCGGTTTTTGGTAACAGAAATCGGAAGTAAAACGATACGCCGCGCGACGAGAAAGAAGAATGGAAAAATGAATCATATCCTCCCTACCTCATAACCAAAACCGTCGTTGACGCACGATGTTCAAGAGGGTTCGTCGTAGCGCGCGTTGCAGTATCGACAAGGATAAAGAAAAAAAAAGAAAGGTCTTCCGACGAATGACAGCGCGCAAAACCGATCACGCGGCCGAACCAAGAGGTGCGCTTTCGGTCGGTGTCAGGGACCGTTCGCGTGTGCGTGTCCACGTATGTGTGCGCCAGTATCTCACAACAAATATGTCGTCGTGATGGGGAGTACGTTTTCCCGTTTGCCGTTTCGCATATTTCTTCCCCCGCGTTATTATCATGTAGTTCGACATAGGTGAACTCTTGCGTGTGTCTCGTCGAACACGTTAAAAGTACAGGTGTGTACGCTCGTGTACGTGTGCGTGTACATGTTGATACGACTGTTAACCGAGGAAGAAGTTTTCTGTATCGAACGCTACGAGGGTCGTTTCATACTCGAAGATAAAGCCCGATGAGAACGATGCGCGAGTTAGTTCTCTTCCTCGGTAATTAGAACGATTATTTAATCATGTCCAATTCGCGAGGAACCAGAGAGGATCGTGGGCAGCCAACGGCGTGAGTCTCGCGATTAACGGTAGGTGTGGAGTTTCTCGTACAGAGTCGAAGCGACGACGTGTGTAACGTTGGGTTCAGCGGTCGCGTTCCCCGGCTACGCCTAGGTGAGAAATGCGGTTCTGAATCGCGACGTGCGCCGATCCTGTGTAATCGCGAACAGGTTGTTTACGGAAGGGGTGGTCCCTTTGTTACGTGCATCACGTTACGATACGATACGTGCTCGTGAACACGGACTCGTGTACGGGTACGCGCGCGCGTGTGTGTGTATGCGTGCACGGTGTTTAACAATCAAGGATATATTCCTTTGGAAGGACGGCCTGACACGGAAAGACGGAAGGAAGGAAGGAAGGAAGAGGAGGGTAGCAGGGTAGCAAGATGGCGGGGTCCTTAACGTGGTCGTGTACTTGTTGCCTGCGGTTCAAGTTCAGCCCCGAGGAGATCGAGCAGCGTTACAAAAGTCAGGAGATCGATCGGATGCTGGAGAAGGATCGTCAAGCTCTTCGACGACAGGTCAAGCTGCTGCTCCTCGGGGCGGGCGAGAGCGGAAAGTCGACATTCCTTAAACAGATGCGAATTATTCACGGAATTAAATTCGAGGTAGGACATCCTCGATTTCTGGACGAGATGGGTTTCGTTTCTGGCTTCGTTTCCCTTCGACGTGTCTCGCCGAACGTGCTCGTTATTCTGGCTAACGATTCTACGTCGATGCCGTGACTCCGTTCACGCTCAGAAAATTCCAATTTTGATTTCTAGGTTCTGTCACTGTTGTTGTAGGTGTTTGTCTAAATGCATACCTGCAAGAAAATGATTGACTTGAACATGCTATTTAAACGCATATGAGAAAGTAGGTCTGAAGTCCGAATGAGTAATCTTTGTAATTTTTAGCTACCTGTTACATATTTTCATTTATGTAGAAACATGGTAGTGTTCAGTTTTACATAAATCACTGATATACAATTTGGTTTCCTCAAAACTATGTTCATGTAAATAACACATTTAAATAAAAGAAATACATATTTAAATGTAAATTACAGTATTTACAACGTACAGTTTGGTGTGGACTAAGGATGAAGAACTTGCAGTCTTTTCATGCATTTTGTTAATTACAAGTCCTTGTTATTCATTGAACAAAATACAGACAAAAAATAAACTACTAAATTGTTGGCTCGTTTATGAGTTTCCAAAGAAACATTAATTTATATCTAAGTATCAAAATTCATTGTATATGAATTATGTGGCCTTATGAAGTGATGTAACATGGTCTTCTAATGCCAAGAGATTCCCTATTCTTGGTATAGACCGTTAAGTATACATATTTCTTATTAGTCTGTTTGTTTTACGACTTATCATGCTTCTACTTACCAAATATAGATGTTGCACAAGAAATAGATTGTAAGCTATATATAAGAAGGTTATAGAACGAACATATGAATCTCTTTAAATTGTTATTTATAATTGTTTAATAAATTACACTTCTAAGTAATTACATACCATTTATAAATATGGTACTTTTATTATTCATAGTATTCCTTTTCCTTTCAGCCTGAGTTAATAAAAGAATATCAACATGTAATTTATCAAAACATAATTAAAGGAATGAAGGTGTTGGTGGATGCTCGTGATAAATTAAATATTCCTTGGGAAAATTCTAAAAACTATGATATCGGTTACCAGTTGCTGAAATTTGAAAATACTATGGTACTAGATGCTAGATTGTTTCTCCATTATGTACCAGCTTTGCAAAGCTTATGGAAAGATGCATCTATCAGAAGGGCCTTTGATAGACGAAGAGAATTTCAATTAGTAAGATATTTTGTACTAATTTTAATGTTTTGTATTACTTTTACAGTGATTGTTGTTAGCCTGTTTGCTGTTCGCATAAATATATAAGATACACACATTTAAGTATAGAGATAGATACAAACTATATTGAATCTGTTTTTATATGTTATACTTTAAGAATATATTTTCCATTTCAGAGTGATTCAGTTCAATATTTTTTGGACAATCTTGACAGGATTGCTAGAATGGTAAAGTTCAATTTGCTTATAAATATCTTGGAAATTGGAAAAATGTATTCGTATTATGAAATATTATCAAATTTCTTTACAGGATTATGTACCCACGCATCAAGATATTTTGCATTGTAGGAAAGCTACAAAAGGGATTTCAGAATTTGTTATACAAATTAATAATATACCGTTTTTGTTTGTCGATGTTGGGGGACAAAGGTCTCAAAGACAAAAGTGGTATCAATGTTTTGATTGTGTTACTTCGATACTTTTTCTTGTGTCATCATCCGAATTTGATCAAGTGTTGTTAGAAGATAGGTGTGTTTTAATTACACTGACATTTTCGCATTTAAAACGTGATAAAATTGTTATACAATATGTCTCATTTACAGAAGAACCAATCGATTGGAAGAATCAAGAAATATATTTGACACGATAGTCAACAATATGATATTTGGTGGAGTGTCTATCATTTTGTTTTTAAATAAAACTGATCTGTTAGACAAAAAAGTGAGATCACCCGATACAAACGTTCGTTGGTATTTTCCGCAATTCACAGGGGATTCGCATTCCATGAAGGACGTGCAAAATTTTATATTGGATATGTTTATATCTGTTAAAAGGGACCCAAGAAAGCCACTTTTTCATCACTTTACTACTGCCGTGGACACAGAAAACATAAAAGTTGTGTTCAATGCTGTCAAAGATACAATTTTGCATAGAAATTTGGAATCGCTGATGCTCCAATAATGATAAGTGTATATAAAAAATGAAACGACTTCCGATTTGAAGGTATGCATTCAACATTTAGCGTTTGGTACATAGTAAAGTGAAATTGTAGTTGAAATAAGTATTAGGACATTGATTAGAGAAGAATGTTCTGGTAAGACAATACCATTGTGTGTGTACCTATGTAAATCACGTGATTACTTCTGTTTATAACGGTAAATTAACGTTTTCATGATAGTTTTATACAAACAAGTAAAAACTGCCTAATGAAAACATACGTTGAAAATTTTTACTATGTACATACATATATATACATGAATATACGTATATTTATATACATGTATATATATTATATACGTACCAATAAGACATTTCCATCCTTTTTTATAAATATTAAAGGGTTGTAAGAAGACTAGACACTATTGTATATAGTAACTTGTATTCTATACATTGTCCATAATAATGGTTTTACATATTTGTATAAAAAAGGATCAGTTTGCTAATAGTTTAGCTAAGATTTTCTATTTTGTACAGATATTTAATCCAACGCTTCTTTTTTATATTAAAATGTGTAATGAAAACACTGGTCATATAACCAGTCTTCGCAAACATAAGAGTAACTTATTTTTTACTTAAGATTAATTATCTTTGTTAACATTGAATTATTAAGTAACAAGGAAACCAAATACTAGATCCATGCCATATAAACCAAATGAAACTAACCAGTTTGTGTTCAAATTGCTGTGTGCAAAAATTGTAAATTTTTAGTTACTGTTTTCTTCTTTAATTTGAGTTCAGAATTGCACACAGGGTTTCGATATTTCTCTATAATAACATGACTTTTTGTACTTTCATGTTCGTTATATTTTTGATTCGTCGTTTTTGTACCTTTAAATTGATGTTCTGTTCTTTTCAGTTCACAATAAATTACATTTTGTAAGCAGTTATAATTAAAATTAATATAATTCCGATAGTGAAATATTGTTCTTTTGCGTACACGCGTGTTTCGTTTACGATATAAACATCCAGTATTTCGCACGACAAATTATACAGAAAAATTTATGACAAAATATAATAACCAATGTTTCAGTTTGTATTAAACGATTAAGTCGTAGCTGTTCTGCTAAACTTCGATTTCGATAACTGGTTCTTATTTCAACATTACTATTTCTTTAAGAAAATTTACATTAATCAGTATTATTATTTCTTGTATACAAAGATTCAAACAAAGTTGGTTTTTCATTTTGTATGTAATAGCAGTTCAACAGAATTATGTTTAATTTCTTATTTTATAAACGTACGATTAACCTCTTCCCGTGGTATATTTACCTCGACAAAATCCTGGCCCAAACGTTAGGCGTCAACACGCGGTAAACAGACCAGACTGATGCTATACTGCTTTGTAACAGAGATTATAAGAATCGTGACCGACTCTTGTGGCGTACCGATAGGAACTAAAACTCAATCACGAACGTGATTTGTTGCCGGCGAGCCTGGCTCGTGATGTTTACGTTTGGGCCGACTTTCTGTTCGCGAGTCTGGCTCGCGATATTCTGCTTTGGGCCAAAATCTTCATCACGAGTCAGACTCGTTAAAGTACGGGAAGGGGTTAACATTAAATAGTTGCAAATATTTCTTTATATACATTGTTGTTCTCATGTTTCGTAAATGTTTGGCAGCCAGCATTATCTAATATAATCAAAATAGAACTACTTGATTGTAACAAGGATAAACTATTAAGATACTTGTTTTGTTTAATACTAAAAGGTCATACATTTCGAAATTTTCTAATATCAGGAAAGATCGTCTTAAATTGAAATCACAAGCATCGCTATAATCAAGATTTTATGTAATAATGTTTATGATGAAACCAAAGAGTTCTTTTCTACAAAATGTAACGTTATAAATATTTTTAAAAGTGTAATCATACTTGTGCATGTAACTACTTCAATTTGCCGTTTCGATCATTTATTACATAAAATCTTTGTTTCCCTTTTTCTTTGTATTAAAAGATAAGAAGAATCCAACATATTTAAAGTAACTTTATTCTGGATCGCTTATTTCTAAAATTAATAAAAATCAATATTTTGTTGTGTTTGTATATAAGAAGTTTTAGATGTAGTATAATAATACAAAATGTTAGGAAGTTGAAATTTTTGCATGGTTTATATTATGCAAAGACAATGAAAAACTTTGACAATTGGTGTATTTTCTTAACTGATATTTTTACATTCCTATAAAGTTAATCAGGTTCACTTTAATTGATATTCTTAGAATATATTTAAATTGTACCACATTTTTTATAATGTAGGTACATTTATTAATATCTCCAATGGAGTTATTTGCTTGAAAAGTAAATGATACAAAATTTTATACAATTTACACGTCCTGCATATACAGAAATTATCTATCGATTATACTGTTGATTTAACTAGTTTTATCCGAATATTCGATCGAAACAATTCTTCGTACAATGCAACTAGGAACACAGAAATATAAAATTACAGGAAAATATTAGCTAATAATGGTACTGTTAGTCATATTTAACGCGAAAATTCGAGTATACCGACATTAAATTGTTTCATAACAATTCGTATAAATTTCATTACGTATTTTATATTGCAACTACTGTATTTCCTTTTCCATTATTAACTGAATATAATTTACATATACTATTACAATTAGATTGAGTTTTATTAGCTTTTTGTACGAAATCGCGTTCAATTTATTGAAGTAATTTATTATACCATTAAATATTTACAAATATATTTCAAATTCACATTTTATCGTGCTAAAGTGGTACACGATTTTTGATTTTAAAAAGTTTCTTGTTTATGAAAGTAATTATATCAAATTTAATATTGTACATTTGCCACTACTATTTTTGCATTTCTATAATGCTCGATGAAAAGTTAATGTCGGTGTACTTGATTTTTGATTAGGGTGTCAGACCTGGACACTTTTAAAGTGACGTTATTTGAAATATCATTTCAAAGAACACGTTAGTCTATTTTACATAAACATTGAAAATAATAAATTCTGTATTTTAAATTCTTTCTCTTTGTGTCATCAATATATTGAAACGATAACGAATACACTTAATTGACATTATTCATATTAGTTTCATTTCAAATAAAATTTGTCCAGGTCTGTAGTACGTACAACGTTGCTAGTTCTATTGCGTAAAAAGTTGTTTTGATCAGATAATTATCATTATCATATTATTGATAATGTGTGTGTATTCGGTTCACAGTAATCATAGTATCCGCATATTCGGATACTAATCGGTTAATAGCCCGGTTATATCCGGGTTTCAAGGCCTCTACTACCAGTACTCATTGCGAGTAACATTTGAAACTTTTATAGAAATATTTTAAAGGAAAGTATACTCTTGATAGACCAGCAATCTGGGAGTCCATGTAGATAGAATGTGTACGTAAAATTTCTCTATCTTATACAAAATTTTCATAATATTTATGAGAGGTCGGAAATATGAACGTGCTCTTTTAACGTGTCATACCTCGGATTGTAGGTTTCGATGAACTGTTTAAGAAACACCAACCACCTTTTGAGCGTAAATGATTAGAGATAACTGGAGTTGAAAGATGAAGATTACGATATTTTGGGACGATGGATGATACAAATATTGCAATAGTACGGTGGTACCGTCCATAGAGCGTTGGTTCATACAGTACTGTTCACATGACTTATTAAAAATGTTTATATTCAATAGTTTTAAACAAGTCATGCATTTATATAATTCGTGTTGCATAAATAACCTCTCTCAAAAGCATTTTGTGTTTATTAATACTTAAAAAAGTCATACAGGAAATATAAATATGTTTATGTGATGCAAAATCAGTCAAATTAGTTTTATAATATTTAATCGTCCCACATGTTTACAATAATTCAGTCAAAAGATAACGGGCCAGGTAAGGAGTTCAATATTTTCTTTTTTTTTTGTTTTTAACTTAATCTGCCCTTTAGAAATTTGTGTAAAATAAATTTCCTTTCCTGGTATGTAGCTCTTTTTGTACATCCTTTATACTTTTTATATTTGAATATCTACGAATATTTAAGCGAACAGTACTGTAAATCAGAAGACATTTCACGTCTTCGACCATTTTCCTTGAACATTTCTGTCCGTCATTATTGAATTTTTAGAATCGTTTATCTTGTCCAGAAAGGAGTGTTTCTTAAACAGCATGTTTTTACTTCCGATTCTCTCCTCGGATCTTTTTCTATGCGTACAATTTATTTTATAAAGATTTAAACGTGACATATTTTTAACCAGTTCGGGGAAAAAAGTATCGCGGACATGTTTCACGAGCAGTTTTATTTGGGACACGAAGGAAATTGTTATTAAAATTTAGTCGTACACCGATTTACATCACACCATGTATCATGCAAGTTTTCCGTCATGCTGTTGTAGAGTAACGAAAGAGAAAAAAAAAGAAGGAAAAAGAAAAAAATGATAAAATGCCGCAAGTCATAACGCGCAACATGTTCAAACGTTTTATTGTAATGCGAACTGTGAAGGCATAGTAACTTTGTGATAGGATCTCGCGAAAAGTAAAGAGGAAATGATTTTTATATTTTTAGAGGCGTCAAAATTTATTTTAATCCGTTCAATCTAATCGATTTTTATGCATTTCAGTCTACGTGAAAAGTAAAAAAAAAAAAAAAAAAAAAAAAATGGAATTTATATATTCTATGATTACGATATCGTTGACGATGATACATCAGTGTTTTATATATAAATATATATACATGCGTTTAAAACGATTTTATTATGATTTGTATTATATTTACATTAGGTACTTTTATATGCATACCTACATTCTCAAATCATGGGAGACAGACATTTGTAAACGGTCGATTCTCTTGTAATACGATCGTAAAAGGAAAAAAAGAAAAGAAATTGTAATTACAACGAACAATAGCTGAGGGGTAGCACTGTGTGAAATTATGTTTAAATATTTGTTACTTAAACTTTCCCAATGATCGATTTATTAACTTTGGCTTTAAATCTGAAAAACGAACTTTGTTTACAATTTACATTTTATTCCCATTCTCTCTTTTTCATTCTTCTACAACACTTATCCGTAAAGACATCGTAAAAATAAAATAGCCTCTAGATTAAACTATCTTAATGCTACCCCACATATTGCAGCCTGCCAACAAGTCATTAACCGTGTTAAGTAAAATATTTATACAGTATATAATAAAAAAAAAAAATGCATCTTAATAAGTTAATAGCAACGAACAATATTTTTACTATTTCTATCGTTGGATAATTATTTATTAACAAACACCTGCGAAACGAAATATTTTCTTGTAAGCTCGTATATAGTGCAGTAAAAAATATAATAAAATGGATAGAGCAGTCTTTTGACCTGCACACGGCGAAGCAAATTGTTTGAATACGATTTTCAGATGTTTTTTACACAAAGCGCAATTCTTATACAATTTCGAAGTTTTTACTATTTCCATCTCGCAATATGTACGAAACGGAACTTAGTCTGTCTGTTAGCGACAGTCATTTGTATATCCGAATTATATTTTATTTGCATTTTGCTATACATGATCTAAAGAATGTAGATATATTGTGCCTTTTGTATATTGTATATTTGTATATAAACATATTTTACATGAAATATTGTAATAATGTAATCTATTCACATAAACAATAAATAAAACTTTAGAAAATTGTTGTTTTAGTCCATAACTTTCCCATTATAATCGCGTGTGTCGTTTTATTGGAAATGTAACTCGTTAGGAAATTACCCATGCGAAGCATTAGTTGAATAAAATGGCACTCAAATACGGAAAATAATGCATCAATAAAGTCTATGTATATATGCGTATCTATATGGTACATTGGTATCACTTTTATTGTAATAAATTTTATACAAAGTAAAGCACATGCCTATTTCGCATAACTTACTTAATAAAATGCACAATATTTACACTTTTGCAAAAAAATACATAAGATACGTTTTATTTTTTTGTTGCAATTGATTGAAATCGTTTCTTCACGGTTCAGCAACGAGCAATATTATTATTTACGTAATATTTATAACACATAGATGTTATACTTATCTAAACATCACATTGGCAATTCGTCTACAATTAGTAGTAATTACATATTTTTTTTTTTATAACTACTAGCGCATTTTATATATTACAGTAATATTTACAATCTTATGTTATCGTATATTAATACAGGGTGAGGCGTATAACGTTATCGCACAAAAAGGGTTTCCGTTTCTTCAAACGATACAAACAAATATCCAAGTATCAAAATAATTCCCAGAGTTCGAAAAGTTACGTCTGATACTAGAAATTCCCACACTTAAGGTAATTTGCAGGTCATGTTATTACAAGTCATTAAATTTGCCTTGACGTCAGATACAACATAGTACACAAAAAATATAGTCTCGTTTAAAAAAACATTGATAATTTCCATGTCTAGATAGAATGATCGACCAAACAATTTCTTTGATTCTTTTTCATATTGTCTAGAGAAACGGAGATTTTTATAGACGATAACATTAGGTGTCACGCCCCGTATAATATCAAAAACGTACAAAAGTGAAAATATAATTTTATTATTTTCCAAAAAACTTGGGATATGTAACCACCCAGAAAAACGCGTATAAAAAATTTATGCGTAACTTCACCAAAACTTTGTTTCGCAATACCCTTCAAAATCACTTCAGAAAGATGAATCGCATTAGCCATTTTGTGGTATATATTGTTTGTGTTACACGGCAATAGACAATGCGAAAGACTGATGTTCCAGTCGGCCCAACTATAACGCATGGTTCGATATGCGATCCTTGTGTAACTAAGAATTCAGGATATCAAAGAATAATAAATTATTTTCTATTGTTGCGTGAATCGACTTAAATTTGTATCATACCGTCATGTTTATGTTACTGTGAATGTCCTTGCACTATAAACGTTCGAAAAATATGTTTGTCGCGTATGTTATATAGAAATTTTAACTAGGTTATCCTGAATAATTGAACACATTCTATTCTTATAGTTCTATTTTACTCTATGTTATTCTACTCTGTTTGTATAAAGTCCAGTTGAAATATTGCGTTGTATGCGTTATAGTAGAAACGACTGTGCTAAATTCTAGTGTGCATTTATCGTTATATTGAGCGTATCCTTGAGGTCCTGACGGAATGTACCAAGTTGTGCTAACTCTATGCGTTACATGTTACAAAATAAGAAATTCTTTAAAAACTGTCTTGTCAAATCCAACTTGTTTTTGCGTTCGTTTGGTTACTTAATTATACTTCCTTTTTTTAAATGGAAACCCACGGAGAGAATTGACTTTCAGACTTACAGAAAAATATGCTGCAAAATTTGCATTCTAGAACTTCCATATTATTCATGTAAATACATACAATTTTATTACTTTCTGCGCAAAATAGTTGTTTTGTCGTTTGAAAAATGCATGAGGTGTTTTGGTTTCTTACATCCATGGAATGTTACGTTTAGTTAGTACCTGTAACTGGTCAGAAGTTGTTTGATAAACACTTTTGATTAATGTTTGAATTTCGTTTAAAAATTATCTTCATACCGTTTACGATTCATATTATTAACGAACTTCAAAATTATGTAATATCTCACTGTTGTTTCCCTTAGAAATTTTCTCGGAACAAATCAACTTATATTGATTAAATTAGAAAATTATAAATATCTCAAGCGCACATAACAATCAACAATATTTAAATGGAAACAATTTTCAAGTCTAATTGCTTAAAGATAGTAATTATAGAGAGCAATGCAAAAATAATCGTACAACTTTTTTTTTCCCTTAATGCGCGTCCTTAAGTTTGATTTTAACTAATGCTTTGTACAACAAAGAGAAAACACATTAAACAATTTATAGAACTTCGACGATTTGTTAACGCTGTCACTAGAAATGTCACTGAGACAGTTCACCTTCTGCATTTAAAATTCTTCGGCTATCGGCGAATTTATAGCACCGCATAAGTGACTTACAGTGAGTCACAGCCAAAATCGTACACCACATATGAAAATATGTTTCATTCGAAAAAAGAAGTTTGAAGATGATTTAGAAAAAAAAAAATAAGGCAGACATATATTTACAATAATATGTCTGCCTTATTTTTTTTCCAAATCATTCCTAAACTTCTTTTTTTCAAATGAAACATATTTTCGTACGCGGTGTACGATTTTGATTGTGACTCACTGTATATGCGTAATATTAAATTCGAAAATTCCTCTTCTACATCGCCGTGTCTACTGACACTACATTTAGCGTTTGTAAAACCTTCTCGAAAATGTACGAGTACAAATAAGTCTTTCATGTTGGCTAGTTAAAAGTTTGAATGGTGCCGAGCTCGAACAATTACGACTTTGGGATAAAAACTATGTCGATACTGTTTCGTTAATGAATAGGATTGATTCGACTTAGGCATATAGTAAATGTACAACCTATCTGTTCAATATCCTGTTGCATTTTAACCCTCAGAAACTAAAAATAATTTGGTTTATAGAAGGTTAATTGTTACGCGATAACAGACCTGGGCAAATTTTATTTGAAATGAAAGTAAGAAATATTTTAATCATTCATAACTTACAGTGTTATTCGGAAATAACTGAAATATCGATGTCTTTAAAAGAATAAGTATTTCAAATAATGAAGTTATTTCATTATTTAAATTATTGAATACTTTAAATGATGAAGTCATTTCATTATTTAGAATATACTTCAAAGTAACAAATACTTATATTTCAAACAAGTGTTATCATCAACGTCACGAATAAATATTTATTAGCCTTCGTGAACACTTGTTTGTTATTTGTATCCATAGAATATATCGTCAGTCTGTGTTGGAACCCATTGGATATTTGTAATTAATAAATAACTATTTTGTTTGATTCATTATCATTTCAATATTTCAATAATGCTAAGCGCTCTGAATACGTTGATATTTCCAAAAGTATTTCATTACTTTAAACATAACGTAGTTGTATTTAATTATGAAATAATAGCAAAATAGGATAACGTGTTATTTGAAATAATATTTGAAAAGCGCCCAGGTCTGTACGATATGGATCAAACTATCGCGGAGGACATAATTAATGTTTCTTTTCGTTGGAAAGGTGTCGTATTTTTGTTTAAAACGAGATTCGAACAAAATACCACCTAAAGTTCCAGTTCCTCGGCTGTACGAGAAAGTCTATGATTATCGATACGTCTACGTTGACTTCGCCTAACTGCATCCGCTCGTCGATACGGTTCCGATCTTAACCCAAGAAGAATGTCTTCCAGAGCACCATTGTAAACTTCGTCCTGCTGCATCAGCTTCTTCTCTTGAACCAATCTCGTTTTGTTCTTCAACTCGTTTATCACAGCGTCCTGCGAACGTGTAAAATTACGAATCGTCTGTTAATCTTTTGTCCTAACCTCAACGGCACGACGATATTTCATAAAACTTATTCAAACGACAAGGATGAATTATCTGAAAACAATAAGTATCGTTCGCCGATACTCGTCACACCAAATCATTATGCTTAATATGTAATAAATACTATCTTCTGTTGACCCCAATTAATTTAAGTAATTCGTTAATTGACATTGTAGTTTTTCGTACAGTGGTACAGATTTTGCACTCCAAATTAACACTTTTGCAAATCGAATTCACCTTGTAGGCGAAACGGTTAATTTGGAGTGCAGAACTTGTATGTAGATGGTGAAATTAAGAAAGAGAATAAAGGTTCTAGGTTTCTGTTCAGAGATAGCATTTGTAAGATCAGTTCTTATAATATTAAAAGTAAAAATTAAAGTTCCACTTGAGAGCACTTTACTATGAGCCTAAAAGATTTATGATTGACAACAGCAAATCTACTTTTTTTTAAATTATTGCT